AAGAGCTGCTTCCAAGCACTATCCCATCCAACTACAACTATATTAGATGATATTTGAGACCAATACGGGGTGACACACCCTTTAGTTTTAATTTTAAAGGGTGTGTGTCTCATTGTGAAAGTACATACACAGGAACTTTCCTAGCCTATGTTCAAATTTCTCTTTCCTGCCTGAGAAGTCAAGATTAATCAATTCTTTCAAACTATTTTTTCAATTCCATGTATCTAAGCCAACCCCCCAGTTGGAAGAGAAAGTAAAACAGCATGTCATTTTCCATCCAGGATTATACTACAAAGGGAACACTCCCTCTTCCTGGCCACTTACTCCAACAAGTCTGTCAAGGTCAATGAACTCACTCCCCTCCAGAAACTCAAATATAAATCACAAAATCACTAGTGTAACAGATTTGGGGATTGGCAATAAAGGAGCGAGGCCTGCTAAATAATAAAGGTCCTCCAAAGGTAGGGTGACCATATTTTGTAAACCAAATCCAGGGACACATATACATGTAAAATGGAACTCACTACAATTCCTGATGCTGGCAATACTGGAGAAGCTTGTTGGATTCATGGCTGTATTTCTCTGCTGATTGTATCTGTTTTAGAATTTTATTGTTTTTTGTTTAGCTTGTTGCTGAATTCAAGCCAGGACACTAAAAAATATTTTTCTCATTTATGAGGTCTTAAATTTATTACATCCTGCAGCAAGGTTCCTCTAAACCTAGCGCAAAGGTCTCTTCCGAAGTTAACAAGATATAGAATTCAAATAGAAACATTTAAAAATGATTGATGAATTAGATGTAGCATCTTCTGAACTCCAAACATTGTCTAGTAGCAAGCACAATTTTCTTTTTTTGCAGAAATGCAGGTTTGCAGTTTTGCTAGATGAAATTTGCTGTTACTGTTTATAGAGATTTACTGTTTATAGATTCGCCACTTTTTCATTGATTGATTTCTCCCGTGTTTTAATAAAAATATTAAATATGCACTGCACTGCACCCAAAAAGTCATAATATTTAAACAAAGGAGGTATGATCCCAACATATTTGAAATGATATTTGTGAAAAAGTGTAACTGAATTGATGGAATGCTTTCTTGTTACCTTGCATGACTCAGACTTCCCAGTAGGGAAATAGAATCTAAAATAACTATAGCATTTGGTTATTTACATTTGCATATAACACATTAAAAGGCCTGTAATGGAGCTAAAGTTTGATACTGAATTCTTATTTCTTTAACCTATATTATCCAAAGTTAATTAAATGCTATTTGTAATTGTACGGCGATTATTGTTTCATATACAATATGTGGAATGTTAGTTTTACTCACATTTAGCTCAATCTATTGAGTATGATGTATTAGTATTTGAGATTTGTTCTCAGTGTTTAGATTTTTTGTGCTCATTCAATATATTTTAGGAGCATAATTGTTGATACTTTTCATTATTGCACAAAATATTGCACCTGAAATTTTTAATGAATACAGTATTTCAATGTAGGGTTTGTCACAGAAACATACTGAAATTTGTATTATATTGGCTACTACAAAAGAGGAATAAACTGTAAAGATTAATATTAGCTACAGGAACTTCAATTTCTGATTTTTTTAAAATGGCAGACAGGACAGAGCTGAGTGGAACAAGTAAACATATACTTTCAACCAAATCAAAGAAAGTTTGTTTTACATTGTAGGATACTCTGTCTCCAGATCAACAAGATAAAAAAAACTTCTCTGGACTTAATGCATCCCAAGCAAATTAAAATATATGAAAATAATGGAACAATATGCTGAAACAGTTATGCCTTTGTATGTTTGGCAGTCGCCCACGATCAAACCACACTCTTTGTTCTTGCTCACTCTACAGACCATACCACATGTTCACTGGCTTTTACTTCATCAATATCGTTCAGCTATGAACAGGAAGTAGCCTGAATTTGTGCTATATATAGCTAGCTCAGCACTGTACTTCCTTTTACTGGAGAAAAGTCTTGAATTCTCATCAAGAATATGAGGCAGTCTCATACAATATTAAATTAAGATTAATTAAGAAATTAAGATCCCTTTTCGTAACTGTCTACTTAATGCCATAATTAATGCTCAGTACAACAACTTCATTTATATAGTGCCCTTCATACAGGCATCTTTGATGCGAGGCTTAACACTGGTGGAGCCTTAAGCCGAGTCAGGGGGAGGTGACCGTAAGCAAGGTCAAAGGAGGTCTGAAAATTAGTTGGGTAAGAGGTATTGCTCAGAACTTCCTTTGTCAACTTGCTCTAATCCTGCAGTCGGTTTAGTTTAACTCCAATTTCCTGTGATTAACCAGCTACTGATAACAATGTGATCTCTGTAGGTACGATTATAAACAGTGAATAAAATGTACTGTTAAAAATATCTGTGTGGTACCTACCTTGCATAAAATATTCTGATGGTGTGGAAAGGCAAAAATATAGAAACCATTGTTTAGCATTAACATCCAAACAAAGAGGATTACTCCATCAAAAAAGATATAAAATTCACCAGACTTTGATTTCCTTTATTATCTCATATCGCTTAACATTTAAATTTGCTGTTCTCTTCCCGAATACACACCAGCACCACGCAATGTACTGGCATAATTCAATTAACAGTGAACATGCTTCATTGCCACTGCTGCTATGTTAGTGCCAGAAAACCGATGAGCCCTGGCACACACTGCAGGAACAAGCTAAAAGAGATCTTTTCTATAAGGTACAGTTGATAAATGTGAACAGATTGAAGTTGAGGACTGGCTACCAACATTGATACATTGTTCAGGTGCCCCTGAAGGAACTTGTGATCTCCTGCTCTAACTGCCTCAGGATTGTGATAAGCTCCTTGACCCGATCACCTCCATCCTTGTCCTGCTTCACTGGCTTCCCATCCCCCAGAGGATGGAGTTCAAGATTCTAGTCCTCACCTTTAAAGTCCTCCCTACCTCTTGCTCTTCCCTACCTCTGCCACCTACTAAATAGTTACCATCCTGTCTGCTCGGCAGGCACAGGCCTATTCATTATCTCCTGCCCTGCCTGTTCCACCACCGTACCATTCAGCCTTTCTGCCCCCAACCTCTGGAACTTCATCCCGGAGTGCCTCCACTTCACCTACTTGCCTTCTTGAAGGCCATCTCAAGACCTTCCTCTTTGACAGTGCTTTCAGTCTTCCACCTCCACCTTCCACTTGCTCTCCACCCCTCGACTCCAACCCCCAGCTCGGCTGCAAACCCTTCATTATCCAATACCTTGGAACATGCCTTGGACGTGAAAGGTGCTACGTAAATGCAATTTGTTGTTGATGTTGTAGTGATTGTGCTAATAATTCCCAGTAAAAAAAATTGACAGGGCCTTATGAAATCAATGGATCCTCCAAATGTAATCCTTAGATTGCTGACACGTACACAGAAAAGAAGTTACATGAACTGTCTGTACTGTATGACACATTTCACTATTATCATGCTTTAAAACTAAATACTAATACTCATGTAATAAAGCTACCCACTCAGTGGAACTTTATTATTAACTGCAGATTAGTAAAATAAAAACCACTTTATAAGATAAAAAATTAAAATTAAAAACGGCACAATGCTCAATCCATGGTCAATTGTTCCCTTATTTTCTCCTCTCTATTATGTATTTCACTGTTTCCTATTTATTCTCTCTTTTCTATTTAACTTTAAAATGTGTTTTTTTTTCCATATTCCATTCATTGCCCATTTAGGAAAGTCAAAGCAACTTTTTTTTAATCATGGGATTTTCTTTTACTCAAAAGTGGTCCGACAAGAAAGAGAAAAGGTAAAAGGCAACGGTTGATGGAGCCTTCATCTTGTGGTACAAGTTATGGATTTGAAACAGGAGTAAGCAGGACAAAAAACTCTTGATTAAAGCATGGACATGCCTTAACTGTGCTTGTTAACTGTGCTTGGGACGTCCTCCTGACGTGAAAGGCGCTTTATAAATGGAATCTTGTTGTTGTTGTTGTTGTTGTAACCCGACTAGAGAAACCGTTCCTACTTTTAATGCCACCTTTGGTATGAAACGAGCACCGAATAACCCAGTAAATGAAAATCTCACGTATGGCATTTCCTCCAAAAGATAAAAAGACAAGTTTAAAAGTTGCGTTAGGAAAAAAAACCACCGAGAACGGAAGTCGTTGGGAGGAAAGAGACAGCCGGTCAATCGGCGTCTGCACGTGAAAAATCGCCCAACGCCCAGATGAAGACGACGCATCATCACAGCTATTATCTTTTCTTGCTTCTGTTTACGATCGTTTCGACTCCAGCCGTCGCTGGGGCGGGGAGCTGCAAGATCTGGCCCGCTCCACGCGTGGGAACGCGCGTGTAAAAAGTGCGGCCAAGAGTCGACGGATTTATTACAAACGCTCGCAAGTCTTCGCCGTTCAGCGCCTTGGGACGTCCTCCTGACGCGAAGGGCGCTTTATAAATGGAATCTTGTTGTTGTTGTTGTTCCCTTGCGACAGCTCGAGATAACGTGGGCGAGAGAAGCAAAGAGTAAAAACAACAGCGACAACCACCCTTGCATTCGGTTACAGCGCCTCTCATCGCGTCGTCGAGGCGTCTCAAAGCGCTTCGCGGAATATACCGTGAAGTGAATCGACTGTATTATATTTCTCTTGGTGGGGGGTGGGGGGGGGGTGGGGTGGGGGGGAGAGAGGAAGGGGCAAACGAGGCGGATCGCAGGAAAGTCCAGCCTTGGAGATTTGATCACTCCCCCCCCCCCCCGCCCCCCCAAGGGCCGTGACGCGTGGTGACCTGCCTGCCGCCGCGCTGCCTCGTGGGGATTGTAGTCTCTCGGAGTATTAGCCGCTTGCGGGGGGGGGCGATACAGACTACACCTCCCAGGATGCGTCGCGCGGCTGCGCAGGCGGCACCCGGGTGGAGGTGGAGAGTTGTGCGTTTGTGTGTGTGTGTGTTGTGTGTGTGTGTGTGGGGGGGGGGGGGGGGGAAAGGGGTTGGGTCCCGGGCCGTGGGAAGGACGGACGGAAGGAAGAAAGGAAGGAAGAAGGAAGGAAGGAAAGGAGGCGGGTGGAATTTTGCTCGAGTCAGTTGTCAATAAAATAATCCCAGACGTCGAGCCCGTCGGCTCCGGGGTAAAGAAATCACATGTGGAGGTTAAGGTACCTGGAGGTAACGTCGAGGAGGGAGCGGAGGGCGACGAAGACGACGGGTTGTCGCTGCTGCTGTCGCTGCCGCTGCTTGTAGTGGGGGGGGGAGTCGTCTTCATCAGTTGTCTTGAGAGAGAGGGAGAGAAAGGAGGCGGTGGCGATGAAGTAGTAGCAGCGGCAGTAGCAGCAGCAGCCACCACACGGCCATCGAAGGAAGTGTCTGAAACCTTGGACTGTTGTGTGCAGAGCGAGAAGAAGCTCGGGGTGGCGGTGGCGGTGGCGCTGCGGTGGTGAAGGGGAGGAAGGGGGGGGAAACCAGTCGTCGGCTCGTTGCGGTGCCGCGAGATGTTCCGCCGGGGAATCGACCGTTGGGTGAGTGAGTCCCGCGCGAGCGCTCGCTAGGATTTGAATGGGCAGCTCGAGCTGTCCTGTGCTGCTCTGTGCTGTCCTGCCCTGTCCTGTGCTGCCCTGTCTTGTCTTGTCTTGTGCTGTCCTGTCTTGTGCTGTCCTGCCCTGTCCTGTCTTGTGCTGTCCTGCCCTGCCCTGCTCTGTGCAGCCCTGCGCTGCCCTGTCCTGTCTTGTGCTGTCCTGTGCTGTCCTGCCCTGTGCTGTCCTGCCCTGTCCTGTGCTGTCCTGCCCTGTCCTGTCCTGCCCTGTCCTGTGCTGTCCTGTCCTGTCCTGCTCTGTGCTGCCCTGCGCTGCCCTGTCCTGCGTCAGTCACTCCCGCAGCCGCTTGCTCGGCGTGAAGGTGGGTTTGTGTGTGTGTGTGTGCATCTGCGTCTTTTTTGGGGGGGGGTTAGTGTTTGCACAGACACCTCACGCTGATATTAACTGCTCTTGGCAGATGCTAACCCCCCACCACACACACACACACACACACTCGCGTGCAAAGAAACAAGAAGAGAAAGCGATTCGTCTTACTTGCTTTCGCACTGCTGCAGTCGTTTTGTGAGCCTCTCCCGCCCATAAAGTCGCGGATGGGTAACTCTCCTCAAGTACACGGCTATCTTTTGAGTCTTTTGAGGTGTTTCTCTCTCTCTCTCTCTCTCTGTCTGTCTGTCTCTCTCTCTCTGTGTCTGTCTGTCTCTCTCTTTCTCTCTCTTACTTCGAGTTCTTTCAAATGTTAATCTGTAAGATGTTGTATTATATATATTTTTTAAAAATTCCAACTCAGCCATCCACCCTATCCATCTGTCTTATCTCTCTGCGTTAATCCGTTAACCGCATGGTGGAGATTATGCGGAAGAAACTTTTGTTCCAACTGGTGTACAAAATACTGCTGAGGCTCTTAACGTGAACGTGTACATCTTATTGCACATTGTTTATACAGTCCAAAGCCATCGATCACTACACTTTAGAATAGTCACAACACTGTAAAGCACTTTGAGACGTTTGCACGTACAAACTAAGTCTAAGCAGGTAACAGCAACTGCAGAATATTTTTGTGCTTTTCTGACAGTGGATTTTTACTGTCCACACAATGCAGTCAGTCCCCTTTACAGTATATCCTGCGAAGCAATTTGAGATGTCTCAACAAAGTGACAAGGCGCCGCCACATGTGACAAGAGAGAGGGGAGAGAGGCACGCGGGCCTGACTGGTTGTCTGCTCTCACAGGGCTCCCGGGAAACTGTGGTCCGAAAGTCCCCTCCGCAGCAACATTCGCCTTTCGTATCAACAATGAGCTCAACGCACCCTTGAATTACAAGGACTGGCATGCCCTGCACTCCACGCGCACACGCACACATATATACCGGGCCGGAGAGTAGTTGCTGTGGCCACACAAGATCATGTGGCCACAGTGCACATTTGAGAAACGCTGCTCGAGGCTGACAGTTCAATACAATGCTGGGGATGCACCAACTTGTCAGAGGTGCCATTCTTTGGCTAAGCCTTGCATTTTAGATATAGCGTCTTATCACATCTTCTAGACGACTCAAAGTGCTTCACAGAATATGCTGCAAAGTGAATTGACTATGTTTTGTGGGTGAAACGTGACGAGGCATTAACAGAACTTGTCTGCAGCTTAACGTTAAAGTGAGTTTCTCCCAGTGTGCTGGCCAACCAACTCCCAGATAAGATTGATCACTCATTTTGTGGATGTTTGTGAGACACAAATGTATTACCACATTCACCTACTGAACTCTGCAGTAAATTTGAGAAATTTCAGCAGCATTCAGTCTGTGCCTCTGCAGGTAGGGTGTTAAAGATCCTATAGTATTATCCGAAAAGAGAACGGTGTTTCTCCCAGTGTCCTGTCCAAAAATTCTCCAAATAAAATTGGTCATTTGTTTCTTTGGGATGTTACTGTGCTCAATTGATCTGCTGCATTTGCCCACAAAATGCAATCGTTCTATTTCACAGTAAATTTTGTGAGTGTGACATGAAAGGCACAATACCAAATACAAGGATTATTATTATTAAATGTAAGATTATAATTTTTTATTAAATGCAAAGATCCAACTCATTTTGAGCTTGGGCCACTAGAGTGGCAAAACAGACGTGGCAATTTTGCTCATTTCTGTGTACTACATCTTAATCATTTTCAATCTATCAGTGACAAGTTGTGTGAGAGCAGTTCTTAAAACAACAATCCATATTTGGTAATGGAATGATAGAAAGATGTACGGAAGTTACTAATTGGACTGACAGATATTTTTCTTCACTGTTGCCGCTTTGAGAATTGTGATAATACGAATTTGGAAGGTCCCTGATAAAATTAAATGTTTCCCATGGTTTCACTTTAATGCTTTTATTCTAAAACTGATCTGATCTATTATTTTTGAAGAAAGTTACATTTAAGTGTTAGGCTTCTAGGCTCTTGAATATTTTATTACTAAAGCGATATGTGCCAAAATATTCTTCAGGTCTTCTGGAGAAATATGCACTTGAGAGATATGATTGCTTATCATATCTCTAAATTGCATTTATCAAATCATCATTGGAAAGAAAAGTTGCAGCAGAGCTGATTGTAAATCCCCGCCCTTTATTTTGTTCACAGTACTGTCCTTTTCCAAAGTTGGTGTGCCAAGCTTGGTTCCATGGGGAACAGTACAGCCTTCTTGGTACCTCATCTAATTTGCCTGGTTTCATGTGTTTCCCCAGACAATGATGGGTAGGCAGTTTGATGATAGTCACAGCTGAGCCCCAAAAAATTCACGCATGACATCCAAAAGCAGACTTTCTGCAGGATATTAACCAGCAACTCTGCTTGTTGATTTTCTTTGCCTGCCCTCAGCCTTCCCACGCTGAGACTTCTACATTAGCAGCTGAGAATGCCTAATAGATCATGGATCAAGCTTGGGACTTTTTCTGGAGTATGTGGTTTAGTGCCAGATTTTGGATTATAAAATGTTTGTTTTTAAGTTAAAATTAAATTGAAAGTGATGAATGCAATTTATTTGCTGCAATTTTTAGGAATTTATAGTACAGTTGCATTACCTCTAGAGCTGAATATTCAAATGTTTTCTCAATACAAGTGGTATATTTTACCTCTTATATGTGCCCGGTTGATTGTTGTTTGATGGATTCCCTTTTTAAATATCAGGACAGAATTTTGCCTGATAAATCTATTGTCTTATAATAATAATCCTTGCATTGGTACATAATGCCTTATCATGTCTTCGAGACATCTCAAAGTGCTTTACAGAATATACTGTAAAGTGAATTGACTGTATATTTTATGGACGAAACGCGGCAGCCAATTGCATACAGTAGTGTCCCACAAACAGTGGTGGATAGTGACCAAATTATTATTACTATTTTTGGAGGGATTATTACCCCCTGAAAAGTGATCCCCGAATCGACTAACAACTGGGTTCCTACTTACTGCTAAGTAAACAGGCGTGTGGAGTAAGGAAACATGTCCAATGTTTTGCCCTGCCAGAATCAAACCCAGGTCCTCTTGCTTGTGACACGTGTGCTCTCACCAATAAACTACAGGACTCCCTTGTATACAAGGGACACAAATCGAAATTGTCTTTAGCGTGTCATCTATACAAAATAGTATTCATATTTTGGGCCATTATAGGACCATATTTTACTAAAAATATTTCATTTAAAAAATTGAGATTTGGAGGGGATCAAAGAAAAGATGATCTGAAGTGTGTAGAATACAGTAATATTAGGTTTGCATAGGCCTCTAGAGTGTCTCTATCTTGTTTTATTGATTTTTAAAAGGATTTAAAAAAAATACCTTGCCTATTTTGTGATTGTTTTGCAATGTCTTCCTAACTGAACAACAACAACAAGATTTCAATTATAGAGCGCCTTTCACGTCGGGAGGACGTCCCAAGGTGGTGGACAGTTGGGTCGGGACCCGAGCAGGGGGGAAATGGTCAGGGTGAGGGGAGGGAAGGGAGGGAGCGAGGAGGGGGTAGAGAGTCGAGAGGGGAGCTGAAGGCACGGTCAAAGAGAAAGGTCTTGAGACCGGCCTTGAAGGAGGAAAGGGAGGAAGCAAGGCGAAGTGCCTTCACGTTGCTTCCTCCCTTTCCTCCTTCAAGGCCGGAGAGGCTTAAGGCCCGGCCACCGATGGTAGGGCGGTTAGGGCGGGGGACGTGGAGCAGACCGAAGCCAGAGGAACGGAGGGTACGGGCAGGTAAGTAGGGGGATAGTAGGTCGGAGAGGTAGGAGGGAGCAAGGCCGTGAATGGCCTTGTAGGTGAGGATGAGGATCTTGAATTGTAGCATTTGCTGACAACGTTTGAACTAACCAGTTAAATCAGGAATTGAGAGGTGGGGAGTTGACAGTTTGTGTTGTCAACAGAATACAGCGCTTGCTGCTGAGATAATGACATACACGTCAAACCAAGAGTGTGCGAGAATGAAGAGTGGAGGGGTTTGTTGGGAGCTATCATATAAGCAATACAGTATTTGCTTATGAGAGGTATAAATTCAAGTCCACAAAAGAAAACATAGTTTTCCACACATTTCTACATTTATAGTGTCAGGATAAGAATGTGTAGTTTTCGAACAATTGGAACTGGTATTGTGCCTCTGATGATGTTGCCTGGAGATTAGCGAATAAGGGATGGCATAATTACTGTAGATTTCATTTGAAAAGCAAATGTTATTGAGGTTGAATCAAGCCAGAGTTCTAAGATTAGAAGTGCATTCTGGGCAAACTAAACCTAACCCAAACAATCTTACAATCATTAGGTCTTGTATAGTTAAACTTTGCAACAAAATAAATTGAATGATGTCATCAGTTGACAGAAGTGTTGATTCCTCTCCTACCAACGCTAAACCACGAATGTAGCAAGAAGCATGACACAAACTATTTTAACAGGATGTTTTTATTCTTTATTGTTTCTGGTTTGTACATTGTTCATTTCTAAGTATAGAATAGCTGGAGTTCCTTTACTTTAGATAAAAGC